GGGGGTCAGGACCCCCTCCCGGCATTTGCAAGGTTATTAAATTTATATACTAAAGCAAGAAAAAATTACGTTGGACCCCTTTCGGAATTCCGACGTAGACTCCCAGGTAAACACAAATTTGTGTTAAATTGATATGAAAAGTCTAAGGTTTGAAGCATTAGAAGTTTAGGTTTATTTTCTTGTCAAAAGTAAAATTATTATTTCAATTTTTGAACAAGTTTCGTCATCCCCGCCTGAAAAGGAAATCCTTGATCTCTCCCAATATCTAATAAATGGTACAAAACAAAATGCATATGATTTTATATCTATTATTGCGCTTACGGATGGTTACAGGAGGAGAGAGAGAGTTTAATGAATAAAAGAGTAATTAAAAATCATCTGTTTTCAACCAAGCTTCAAGTGTCCCTACCCTAGATTTTAAAAATATCCCCAAAATATTGAAACAGAATTTTTTTTTCTTAAAGCTAGACTGTCAGACAGGGATACTGAAATCTCGAAAGACTTCCTGTAATAATTATAAAACAGCCACATTCCGCAAAAATGTACATACTTTGTGGTCTGTCTTTCAAGAATATTTAGGTAACGGTCATGTCAATTATTTCTAACCCCCCTTAAAAATACAAATGCCTAAATGCACATCTAAACAGGATGTTTTTCGCTTGTGTGTTAAAAAACGTACAGATGTACACATAAATTTTGTATTCTGGTTAAATGCTTTTAAGTCTTGAGCTAAATAATTACCGTGTATCAAGTTACTTGGTTTAGATTTGAGATTAGTACTAAAATAATCAGTTGTAATTGACAAATGAATTTTGCGATGCAAAAACTGCAGACTATATATAGAAAGTTTATTAGAACTAGATAGACAATTTTCAGCTATATCTTATAAAGCCGTTATAATTACAAGTATACTTTAGCGAACCCCCCCCCCCCCCCCCCCCCCACTTTCAGCTGCGCAAATACCAAATAACTTCTCTTTTCCACTTGTGATATTTTCCCTGACTAAAATCTGATCAGCACGGACTAAGTGTTTCGATGTGCTTAGGCTGTAAAGAGTAGTAACAGTGTGTTTACTTTTGAGTTTTTATGGAGTTTATTTCTTTTTTGTGATGCATATTTCAATAAATGGAATTCAGGGTGTATATCACTTGACTTGTGCACATCTCCGAACCGAAGCAGTGATCTTATTACCAGGTATGGGTACGTTTACAGCGTTCGACGCGTTTTCTTGACATGAATCAAAGTCTGCATAAAACCTGCAAATCAATTGCAAAGACGCTGGTTGTTTTGTTCCATTCAAATGATAATCATTTCAAAGTGTGTTTACGGGTTTTAGTGCTTTTTAATTCATGTTTATTCTGCATAAATTGGCGCAGTGAAGAAATGCGTACTCGTGCAACGAAATCTTTTTTTCAAGCTTGCATTTTCTTTCTTTTTTATAATCACATTTGATTCAAATCAATAATTATTCAGAAATATGATTACTATGTTGTTTGTTGTGGTTTTGAAATGTCTTGATCAACCCATGTGTTCTCAAATGTTTTTCCATCGGAGATGTGCACAAGTCAATAGCCAAGCCGAAAAATCATTCAAGTGTAACGAGGGCATTGGGGTATATATCGTAACAATAAGACAAGGCATCTGAAAGAAATATGGCGGAATACGGCTATCGTTTGTATGAAACAAGTCGTACATAGATGAAAAGTTGCGTTTTTAAGAATTCATGTCAGCTTTAACCAACAGGTATGAAGAGTTTGTTATACCAAACTTACCAAAGAGTAACATATATTGTATACAGAGAAAAGTAATCTAGATACATATCAATTCTATTAAAAAGAATACTGTTCGACTTGCAATAAAATTATTTTCATTTAATTAAATATTAATTGTTAACAAAAGAAGTAAGTATACTTTAATTGACGTTTTGATTTTATTGCAAGGTTAGACTAATGCATTTGAAAAGTATAATTTAAATGATCAGATGATGATGGCAATAATACAGAAGTTCACACATGTAAACAAATAATTCATAAACCAATCTTGTGCAAGTGGTTGTATTTGACAGTGATCTGAAAGTGAAATGGCGGCGGGAATGTTCGAGTTACCGCCGTATTACGTTTTCAACAAAAAAAAGTTGTTTAGAGTCATAAATCGATTATTACAACATTCATAAACTTACCTCAGTTGAAAGTAGTCTTCTTCTGTATCCGTTGAAGTGTATGAAAGCTTTGAATGAGCGCTAGGAATGGCTTTTTGCAGAAGCAAAATGCAGAACACTGCTATCGAGTCAAGTCTCAATCTCAGTGTGATGAAATTAGGCCAAGACCACGTGATCTTTGGTGGTCAATGGAGCACAAATACTGCGAAACAAAAAACTAAAATATAAAAAAGGAAAGGAAATTGTTATATATGCAATTCGAAAGAAAAGACTTTATGGATATTTATTCAAAGTTTATTTTCTGCATGCAGTGGTCAAAAGGAGAATCCTACCAGCCCCCCCCCCAGCACTTGGCGGATCCAGGAATTTTGTAGGAAGGAAGGCAGGAGGGTCTGGTGGCTGTACTGAAGCCCCCAGTGGGTCTAAGGCAAAGTCCTTTTGGGGGGTTTGACAAGTTCTTACAAATAAGAGATTTTTTTTTTTCAGGGAGGGGGGGGGGCACGACCGGTGCGCTGGCCCTGCATCCACCTTTGCCCCCATCTCCTTAAATTCCAGTTATTAAACTGCTATGTAAAGAAATGATAATTTATATTAAAGAGTTATTTACGAATACCTCCAATCTAATTAAAATTAGATGTTCCGAATCCGCTATCGTTTGAGAAGCGACAGCGGATTCGGAACATCTAATTTTAATTAGATTGCGAATACCTCTTGTCAAAAAATAACGTTGACATTTAATATTGATATAGATGTGATGTCCTCCCACCCCCTCTTGAAAAAATCCTGGATCCATATGCACTTGTCTGAAGATTTTATGAACTAGAAGGAATAGGACATTGTCTTCGGGAGAAATCAATTTGAATTGCAAGTTTAATGCATGCCATAGATTCAGAAAAAAATGGAATTACGAATATAATTATTTCAATATATCACTGATCTATTATGTGGAAAGAAGATGGGAAAATAAGGACAGCAAACCGCTTAATGTGCGACAAATAAAAGAAATTAAAATTTTAAAATTGATTTAAAAAAAACTAAATATATAACATTTAACGTAACGTATTACTATAATAGTATATTAAGACCCATTATACTTTAAAATACACTTTTATATACAAAAATCATGCCTTATTATATAAAGTTATTTGACCAGTTCCGAATAAGAAACGGATTTGGCGATGCTGTAAATAAACGAAGCATTATTCCAAAATAATATTTGTCAAGGCAATTCAATGACTTGTGTACGTACAGTCCTTTTATTTCAATGTCATTTTAATGCCGTGATTTGCCATAATCTGTACAGCATATAGTTTGCTATCAACTTTTTCTCGTAGTACATGTATCCTTTTTTAAAGGGGGCGCACCCCCCCCCCCCCCCAAAAAAAAAGAAAGAACGTTTAACGACTAACCTAATAAACTGACAAAATTGAAATGTCCCAAGAAAAATAACGTATCTTTTAAAAAGTTTTTCCATCGTCAACTTGTCAACTCTCCTCATTGCTGTAGTGTATACATCTTCCATTTTATTCGATACTTAACTAGTACGATCAATTTTAAAACCAATACAGTCTCCTAACAAATAAGTTGATTTTACAGGAATTTCAACAACTTTGTTGCGCAAAAAGTACCAACCTTGATTATCCTGCTCAGTGACATAACTTGCATTTACATTTTTAAACTTTTTAAGTTATGTTGGATAATTTACAATTAACAAATTGTGAAAAAACAATTGACAAATTATGAAATTAAGGTTTACAATTTACAAATTCAGGTTAACATGTGTACATTTTAAGAATTACAGAGTTGGAATCTTGAACCCGTTGGCTTTCCATAAATTAGGGAACTTTTTGTTTCAGAGAATTAATAGGTTGTTTTTAAAATTTAATTGTGCGCTTGACAGCTATTGAATGTTAACAGGGAAACTTTTCTTGTTTCAGAGAATTAAATTAATAGTGTGTAAGTTTAAGACTTGTTTTTAAAATTTTTGCGCTTGACAGCCAACAGAATTTCCGGATCAATTCAAACAAAGTTGGCAATCAATCCTTCAAACCTCACCCAAAGCTTTAAATTATAGAATATACAAAGACGAACTAAAATTTGAAAACTATTTCAATATTTTATCAAAAAAGGACTTAATAACATTTTGTAGATTTCGAACGTGTAATCATCATTTACCAATTGAAAGTGGACGCTGGCTTAATATACCAAGACAAGATAGAATTTGTCCCCATTGTAATCTAAAAGAACTCGGAGATGAGTTTCATTACATTTTAAAGTGCAACTCGCTACAAACAGAAAGAAAACTTTGCTTAACAGAAAAACACATAAAATTCCAGAATATAATTAGTTTTAAAAACATTATGAACAACAATAAACACTGCTTTCTAAGAAAATTGTGCTCCTTTGTAAAGAAAACTAGAGGTACTGTGAGCGATGAGCTCACTAAATGATACCCCCCGCCTCCCATATGGTTATAACTGGTGAAAAAGTCCATGTTTTCCTGTGGCCGGGAAACCCAAAATATGTGTCTGATCAAAAAGTAAAATAGGAGGTGCACAATGGCAATATGTAATAAAGATTCTGTGAAAGTTGCATCAAATTTCATTCAGTGGTATAAGAGGAGTTGCGGATAAGAGATGGGTACCCCAAAGCGTAACAGACGGACGGACGGACAGACGGAAGGACGGACGGACAGACGGACGGACGGACGTACAGACGGACGGAATTAACGATTACTATATACCCTCCCGCTTTTCAAGCGGGGGGTATAATAAATAAAATATGCTCCCCGGCCTAATCAGTATGATTCATGCTTTCAAACATCAAAGGGACTTTGACAATGATTATGACGTCATAATACAGTTTTACATAGATACACAACGTCAACAAAGCAGTGGGTATGCAAACTGTAAGTAGACTTCAAGCCTTAGAATATCTAGCAGATGTAATTAATTGCATTTCTAAAGTGACTTAGGAATCAAGCTTTCGTCTCGTGAGATTTTAAATGGAGTCATTGCCAGTCATAATCTGATTTTCATCAAGAATATTTTTTACTGTACAATCACGCTAACTGATACCAGTGCATTGTCCCCTTTTGGAGTTTTGTTTTTATACAAAGCCTTTGTGGACAAATATGAGGGGGTTTATTTTTGTTGTTGTTTTTTTTTTACTTTGACACGAATTTACATGTGCATGTACCTAAATTGGCTTGTTGAACATTAGATTGCTTTCAAAATACTTTGATAAAATATATACAAACAAGTTAATTGTTACGTCATGACGGAGGTCTTTAACGATGACCTATGACGTCATAGTTAAGTTTTGTTTACACAAAAGCGATGGAAATGCATCTTGTGAGTAAATGCTAATGAATTGTTTTTGTGTCTTTTTATACAACACTTTTTGCAAAATTAGTTTTTATTAGCTTTAAGTATGCCTAATTGGTTGTATATTACTTATTTTTAAGATCTGTCGTGGTAAAATTTCAGAATTTATCATGTTGTAGACCTTTTCTTGGAATTCGTTACGTATAAGAATAAAAACAATTATTTCGATTCACTTCTGAGATACTCACTTCTACTTAAATATTGATACCAATTTAGAATTTTTATTTCCTTCGGGTTTTGATAGTCATTTATAGTAATTCAAGATTAAAATGACTTTAAACCTCTGCAAATCTAATTTCTTTTCAGAATGCAGTTGTGAGCAAGAAAATGTACAACGAAAAACGACTACGAGAAATTCTGACAGAGCTGGCCTGCCGATCAGCTGATGTACCTATAGACATGCTTCCCATCCCCTTTGTAAGGAGCTTATTAGAAATTTTAATTAGAATTTTTTTAAATCTTTGCTGTGCCTTGGAGGGCTGGGGAAAAAAGGGGTGTGTTGATTTTAAAATCCCAGAAAAATAAAACAAAATCAAGTTTTTATTCTTAACTAGAGTAAGGTGAAAGGGAAGTAAACAATATTTCATTGACGCCTGTAGTTTTTTCAAACCTTTGAAAATACTATTTTTGATTTTTGTTTGTTTAAATGAAAGACAGATAAGAATCTTATAATACTGCATTAAAAAATTTAACAATTATCAGTATTTTGCAAAGTCGATTATTTTCACAAAAAGGTTGAATTTGCTTAGTTCCTGAAATAAAATTTTCTGCCTTTGCAGGACACAGAATTAATTCTGGACTTCGGAGATGAAGCCGTTAAAGATCTGGTGAGTAGCCTATGTTGAAGACTGTTATTTTAGCCATATAAATGATTCTAACTAGATAATTTTTGCAAATTTAAACAAGATAAAATGCTTGATTTATGTCCTTTGGAGAAAACGATTTTGTGCCAAGAGTTCCTTTTATGCATCAGTTACGTATAAATTATTTTGTAGAAGAGAGTTAACGTAAAGAGTTCAAATTACAAAATTATTATTGTAAAATGAGAGAGAGAGAGAGAGAGATTCATGTAAAAAGCGTCTTCGTTTATTTTTTTAGAAATCAAAGAAAGAGATACTAAAGTTTGAAAAAAGCTGGGTGGATATGGTTGAGGAAGAGGAACTACGACAGGTAATGCAGGGCTTTATAAATATCTGACGATTGATTGATTATTTGTTGTTTAACGTCCTTACCAAATGTTTCACGTATATGGAGACGCTTTTATTATTATAAATACATAAGAGAACTATTTTGGTTTACAAATGAGCACAATTTGAAATTACTTGTATTTTGATCCAGTGAAATATACCTTCTAAAAAATTGCTGAAATATATATCATGTATAATTTTTGTCTATTATATGTTTACTTTAATTAACCTTATTTTATGAATAATTTAATTTTAATAAGGATTGGGAAACAGGCAAAAACCATGCATGTCTTCTCCTTGAATAATAGGCCAAAATAGTACATGTATCTGTCATGAATATAACAAATTTATTGATTTATTTCATTAATTGATTTATTATTTCATAAATTGTTTATTTAGGAAAACTTATCAAAGGTAGAAGGGATGTTGAAAGTCATGGATTCACAAATCAAGTTAAAAGAAGAAATGCAAGAAGAACTTAAGGTATTTAGCTGTCTATGCATCTTAAGAAGTTGTGAAATTATATTAGCTTTCTACTCATTGATCAGATTGATAAATATTATAATTGTGTTTACAGAAAGAAGTCCCAAGGAAGATTGTCAAGCTAAGAAGCACAATTATTGGCATTGAAAAATCAAGGAAAATGTTTGGGCCAATCCACCAAGAACTGATGGTAAAATTTTCAGAAACATTTGCTCGTGTACCCAATTATCCTATTATTTTTTAGATTAAATATCTATGATATTAACATTGATCTTTATTCAATAAATTGATCTTCATTCAATAAATTGATCTTTATTCAATAATTTCTTATACAGACAGTTTTGGCTAGAAGAGATCAAGACAAAATAAAAATCTACCAACAGAAGAAGATCATGTCAGAGATGTTAAAAGAGCTTCAGGTAAACATGCCAAATGTTAATGTAAGCTTAATTGGTTGCAATGTTTCAGTAACTGAAAATGTGGGCAATTTTCAAGTTTTAAAAAGGTACCGGTAAACTGTTCATTACTTTTGATATTAAATTTTTCATTTTCAGGTAGTGGCCTTAAAAGAATTTGACAACAGAAGTGAGAGATTGGAAAGAAGGCAGGGCACTTGGAGAGTGGTACACAAAGAGTTAATGGCAAGTTTTCGTGTGTTTATCCTTCATGTTATATTTTAGTCATTATGCATTATGTTTTCAATTTAAATAACTTTTTAAGAAAATAAAATTTTTAGGGCACACTAGAGACCTAATTGTACCTTCTTCTAAGCTAATAATTTTCGTGATTAAATGTTAATGATATTAAAATTTGATTTTTATATTATTATTTATTATACAGGAAGCTTTGATTCAAAGAGATCAAGACAAAATAAAAGTCTACCATCAGAAGAAGATCATGTCAGAGATGTTAAAAGAGCTTCAGGTAAAGACACCAAATAATACTGTTATTGGTTGCAAAAATGGTGATAATTAACAATTTTAACAAAAGTTAAGTGTGAGTAGTTTTTGATGAACTTTGATTTTCAGGTTGTGGCATTAATGGATTTTGAAGGAAGAATTGCAAGAGAAGAAAAGAGGCAAGCCATACACAAAGAGCTGATGGTAAGTTTTCATTGTTTATCCTTTATGTTATATTTTAGTCATTTTGCATTATGTTCTCAATTTTATTAACTTTTTAAGAAAATAAAATTTCTAGGGCACAATACAGACCAAATTGTACCTTCTTCTTATAGCCAATAATTTTCATGATTAAATGTTTATGATATTAAAATTTGATTTTTATTTTATCATTAATATTATCCAGGCAGTTTTGACTAGAAAAGATCATGAGAAAATAAAAGTCCACCATCATCAGAAGATCATGTCCGAGATGTTAAGAGAGCTTAAGGTAAATACAAGTGTGTGCCAAATGTTAATGCTATTGGTTGCCAAAAATGGTGATGATTAACAATTTTTAACAAAGGTTAAGTGTCAATAGATTTTAAGAAATTTTGATTTTCAGGTTGTGGCATTAATGGATTTTGAAGGAAGGATTGCAAGAGAAGAAAAGATGCAAGCCATACACAAAGAGCTGATGGTAAGTTTTCATTGTTTATTTTTTATGTTATATTTTAGTCATTTTGCATTTCTGTTGTCAATTTTCCGTAACTTTTTAAGACTTCTTATGAATAACCGGAGGGTAGCAATTTCAACCAAACTTGCCACAAACCATCCTTGGGTATAGGCCAAATGTTACTGTTTTTGGTTCAAAAATGATAATTAACAATTTTCAAAGGTAAAGATAATTAAAATTTGTGAATTTTTATTGGCATTTTTATTAAAAATCTTTTTCAAGAACCACTGGGCCAGGAAAGATGAAAATGTGGAATTATCCTCAGGTAGTGTAGATTCAAATTTGTTCAAAATGACCCCCGGGGGTAGGGCAGGGCCACAATGGCCACCAAAGTTTTACATAGAAATATATTGAAAAAAATCTTTAAAAATCTTCTTTAAGAATAGCAAAGCCATAATTCAGTTATTTATATGGAATTTCCCCAGGTAGTGTAGATTCAAGTTTTTCAAGGATCATGAATAGGGCAAGAGCCAAAATGGCCGACCAAAGTTTTACATAGAAATATATGGGAAAATTCTTTAAAAATCTTCTTCTTAAGATATAGCAAAGCCATAATTCATGGAAGCATCCCCAGGTTTTGAAGAAAATAAAATTCAAGTTTGTTCAAATCATGACGCCCGAGGGTAGGGCGGGGCCACAATCGACCAAAGTTTTACATAGAAATATATAGGAAAATTCTTGAAAATTCTTCTTCTCAAGAAATACAAAGCCATGATTTTATATATTTATATGGAAGCATCCTCAGGTAGAGGTGATTCAAGTTTGTTCAAATCATGAAAACCCCAGATAGGCAGATGCACATACACAAAAGTTTTACATGAAATATGTGAAAAATTCTTTAAAAATCATTTTCTGCATTAAAGCCATGATTGGTCATGGGACTTCTTTTGGATTAAAACTTTTCAATAAAAACCAATTTTCTACCTTTTCCAAGCCACAATGCTTCAGGTGAGCTGTGGCCAAAATTTTCTTGTTATGCATTATGTTCTCAATTTTATTAACTTTTTAAGAAAATAAAATTTAAGGGCACAATACAGACCAAACTGTACCTTCTTCTTATAGCCAATAATTTTCATGATTAAATGTTTATGATATAAAAAATTGATCTTTTTTTATTATTTTATTATCCAGGCAATTTTGACTAGGAGAGATCAGGACAAAATAAAAATCTACCATCAGAAGAAAATCATGTCGGAATTGTTAAAAGAGCTTAAGGTAAAGACACCAAATGTTATATACATGTACCTTTAATGGTTTCCAAAAATGGTGATAATTAACAATTTTACCAAAGGCTAAGTAAAAAGAGTTTTTGATAAATTTTGATTTTTAGGTTGTGGCATTAATGGATTTTGAAGGAAGGATTGCAAGAGAAGAAAAGAAGCAAGCCATACACAAAGAGCTGATGGTAAGTTTTCATTGTTTATCCATAACTTACCTTACTATATAGTCTTGTATTTTTTGAGTATTTTTTTTTTTTATATTTTGATTTGATTTGAACATATTTTATTGCTTATACTTTAAATTATGGGCAAAAGTCTTAATTTTAAAGCCCTCTCCCTACATATGCATTATATTAAACATATTTACATACATGGGTTATATATTTTAATGATCCTGTCTTGTTTTGTTTGTTTGCTATAAGTTACATTAATTTTATTAAAAATTTTCTTACAGGTAGTTTTGACTAAGAAGCATTCTGAAGATGCACAGTTCAGAAAACAACAGGAAGTTATGTGGAAGATGCTAAAAGAGCTAAAGGTAAACCTCCTTTCATTGTTAAAATGGTAAAAATCAATTGTAATACAGTGTATTTACCTATTGTGTAAGATTGAAATAAACAAACTTGTTAAGAAATCATAATTTCAAAAAGAAAAAAATGAATTGTAGGTGGTGTCATCAAAATTTGTGGACCATAGAAATGAAATTAGAAATTACTATAGAAAAAGATTAATTGTGGTATTATTTTGTAAGTTTTACCATTTGCTTCTTTATCTTTTCAAAATTTAAATATGTATTTTTTCATTTTTTTAACAGACAGTTTTGACCAAACGAAATTTAGAAGAAAAGCAGTTCCAAATTCTAAAGGCACTGAAGTCAGCAATGCTTAAAGAGCTTAAAGTAAGTAATTTAGACCATTTTTAAAATATTGTGTGGTTGCCCTGTTCCAATTTAAATGACTGGCTAAAAAAATGTTCCATTTATTTTTTTTACCCCCAGGAACGTATCATTTTTTAAAAATTTATATAACAAAAATGATTTTAAAAATTCAGCACTGGTGTTGGGGGGGGGGGGGGAGTTATTTTCATTTTCATTTACCTAGCAACATAATTTTTTAGAGTGCAAACAAATACATGTATAAGAAGGCCTTAATTTAGCAGTTATACATGTATCTAGTGTTTATGTTTGTAAAATATCATACTAAACATTTGACTTTTATATAGAAAAAAATCTAATAAATTTTCCAAAATAAATAATTTAAATTTAGAAAATCCAAAATTAAAATCAAACAAAACAAAATTAGATATTTCTGTCAAGTACCTAATTTTAAAAATGACTAAATAATTTTCTTTTTCTAGAATTAAAATTAAAATCAAACAAAACAAAATAAAATATTTCTGTCAAATACCTAATGAAAGAGTTCCATGTTTTATAGAATTTGAACAAAGACAACAAATCAGACTTAGAAAAGGAGGAAGAAGAAGATTTATTTGTCCCTCGGAAACTGTTCCTGTTTCATGTGGATACCTTTAAAACTTCTCCACAGGTAAAAATTTTATATGACATTTTTTTTAGAAATCATTTTAAATATTTCCTGTGCAGAATTAAATTGTGTTAATTTACATGTTTTATGCATATCGTATAATCCCTATTAACCAGCCCGGGTGCTTAGAAAATTGCGAAAATGGGGCATTTATTTTGGTATTCTCTTTATAATATTTAATGTCATATTCTAACATTAAAAAATCTGTTTAAAATAAATTCAAAGAACTGCTAAAATAATGTTTAACTTAATTACTTTAAGTGAAGATAATCCATCCAAATTATGCTAAATGATTCATTATCCACCGAGATATTGGATAATAGACAAGGTACATTTTCACTTTCTTCAAATGTTGGCAGACTTTTGAAATGATTCTAGATGATTTTAATCACTGTATAGGGGGCCCTTATTTCCTGACAATTGAAAAAAATGCTAGGGGCACTTATAGGGGCAGAGGTGGTATACGGTATTATCAACATTGTGCAACATGTCTGGGAATAGCTGTAGAACTAGGTAGCTTTCCAAAAAGAAATATATATTGATAGATAGACCGGAGATCTATCAATATATATTTATTCGGAGAGCTACAGTTCTGCAGCTAGCTTTTATGTACAATCTATATGGAAGATTATAATTATTCAATAAGTTTTTTGTTAAAATTAAAATCTATGGTTTGTAAGGCGAGAGGTTAATCCGAAAACCTTATGGGCAAAGATGACATCTTAGTATTTGTAAATTTAGATTGTGCTTTACAAAATAGCAAAAATTCTTCCATTGTTAGAATGTTGAGACTTGAAAACTGAGGACATTCTTTGAGTTTCAAATAAGAGTTTGTTTGTGGATGATGAAAGCTGTTATATTTCAGAAGAGATGGTTACCAGTCAGAATTACTACGCCATAATAAAAATATTCCTAGATTCTCATCCCCGCCCGCCCTGATTTTAAACCCCCGCCTCGATTTTTTTTATTTCTGTTTTTCTTCGTCTTAATTCTGATCGGGATCGGTATTCATCTATCATTCTACTTTCGTTTTAAATCCCGCGAATGTCAACATGATTTTGACAGCTGAAAAGATGGTAATTGCTGTAATACATGCGTATATATTTTAAACAAGGGTCATTGGTTGAAAAGATTGGTGATGATGTGAAGTAAGAGATAATGGAACCTTTACTGTGTCTTTTATTCAGGTATTGTAGATAAAATTAGACCGATTGACTAGGTCAATAAAAAATCTGCAAAATTGAAAAAATAAAAAATATAAAATAAAAGCCGCCCGCCCGCCCCGATTTTTAAAAAAAATCGGATGAGAATCTAGCAATTTATTTATTATTGCCTAACTTCTATTTACTTGTTTTTCCATTGTTTAAATAAATATATATATAATTGCATTTTTATTGGTGTATCTTTTGCATGGACTGGTTTCTTGAGTTATAATTCAATAGTTCCATGAAAATTGGTTGAATCTGATTCGTGGAGAAACATATGTTAAAAATCAATATTATACTTTCATGTAAATTAGTTGAATCTGATTTGTCGAGAGACATTTGTTAAAAACAACGTTACCCACTGAATAAAGAAACCACGCCCTCCAGTGTAGCACCAGTCAACATTGCTTAACGACGGGTAATATTCCAAAAAAATGTTGACTGCGCAGAATTTATGCCGCACTGTTCACTGTCGTATGTGGGTGATTCCACAAATTTGAGACAATTTTCATAAGTGAAGAAGTTAATATTGCTCTTTCTTCTTTCTCTGCCCAACATGGTTCAATGAGCTTTGTAATACATATGCTCTTTAATTTTAACGATAGTCACAAGTCAAAGAAAACAGATTTTATTATATTTAAGAAGTAAAATCAATATTTTTATGCTTTGGTCATGACCGCAACGATATAAAAACATGCAGTTTCTATTTTTCTATATATTGAAAAGAAATATTTTTTTTAACCAATGAAAAGAAAATGAAAAGAAAATTAATACTCTGTTAATATAATAGAAGTTGTAGAATTTTGGAATACGTTCTATTCTGTGGAGGGCCAAATAAATCGCCAGATGTAAAAATATGCTATTTGTGTAATTACAAAATCAATTTTTGTGTTGTAAAAAACAAATATTAATACGTTTTAGGAAGTAACAGGCATAAAATGAAGTAAATTATATCACTAAGGCTTATTTTTTACTAATAATTAATAGCATGTAATTTTATTTGCACGAAAGACTCATATGACTAAAATTTTCGGTCATGACATCAAATTTTTGGTCATGACATTGCTTTATTATACATATAAAAATGTCAATGAATAATTCTAAAATAAAAACACCAAAACACCAATAAAAATAAAAATAAAAAACAATGTAACATCAAATAAATTAAACGGTCTAATCATGCATGATTTTTGTCTGTCAAGTCCAACTCTTTACGAAACACTAAAAAAATCAATTGTTTTATGCTTTATTAAATAAAAAATCAATTATAATGTTGATAGTTTAAAATATTTAATGATATATGCTGTTGTTTTAGCAAAATTGATAAATGATAAAAAGTTTGAGTTGAAAATAGTAACTATTGTCATGACCACAAAATATTAAGTTGCGGTAAATGACAGTTTTGGTCATGACATAAATTGAGTTATTACCTGATCAGCACACCATACGTACTATATGGATGGTGCAATGATGTACATAACATTGCAGAAACATTAAATAAAGCCGTTTGGAACAAGTTTACTATGTGAAATATTTGTATTATCGTGTTTTAGAACATTCGGTCATGATCAACCATAAAGGAACTAATAAAAAAAGATACTTACAACGGGATTTCCCTTCTAAACCTTTTGACCTACACTGTTCCTTTGGTAGCTAAACACAGTTTCGTATAAAATCCAGGGGGTTTTTCCCAGAGAGAAGCATGCTGGGTAGGGATTTTCCTGCTATTTATAGGAGTCTAGATGAAAACTGCATCTTTTTTGTTTTTATTCGCATAAAGTAGAGTCTTATCTTAATATTTAAAGAAAAAAATGTGCATTCATTTTTAGAAAAAAAAAATTGTGAGACTTTTTAATAGGGGGAGATAACTCCCAAAACATCCAGTTTTCACATGTGCAGAATTGCATGAGTCACTTAGCAGGTAATGTAGCTCTTTCAAGAGGTGGAAAATGTACCCTGAAAGCACACTAAAAGAAAACCTTAGGACTTGTTCTGTGAAATGCATGCAACTTATTTTGTCTGATTTTTTCTGTTTTTGTTGAGCAGGGGGGTTAAAAATGCATAGGTGCACTGAAAATGGATGGGTAAACAACCCAATATCCCCCTTATTTCAGGTGTCAAATACCCCCTAGTAGTAATTGATGAATGTATTATAGTTGGATATTTACAAAATTCACAATTTTATCTTTCCATTGATATGCAGAAGTCTATGTAACAAGCCTCCATTTTATTTTTTTATAGGGGTCAGTTTTGCATGTCCCTCAACAAGTAACGTCCTGATAACGTCATACATAAAACTGTGTTTTGCACCCTTAAGGAGTAGCATTTGATGACATTTCCCACATTTATTTGCCTGTAAGTTCATAGAAAATTGCTTTATTTCTTTTAAATTATGTAGTAAACCATACAATATAATCTCAGGTTGACACTGTGTAAGGCATAATGCCTATTAGATACATGTTCCATAGAATTTATACATATGATAAGGATTCAGGGGCTAAAGTTGTTATTTTACATTATGACGCAACAGCATTGTGACATCAAAGTGTGACGTCATGTCAATAATGGAAGCTTCGCAAGGTCATGACCTTCAACTTAATTGATCGCAAATGAGAATATGTATCTTCTGTATAGATATACATGTGACATAGACCTATTGAGTATCTAGTTAGGGTGACACCATCCAGATGTTTTAGGCAATCTTCTGATTTAAGACAGTGACTATTTCCAATTAGACCCCCCCCCCTTGTTTATACAGAAACCAGCAATATCTGTAAAAATTGTTTGGCAGCTTTTTAAAAAAATTATAATGTAACATTTTATTGATATTCAAATACTGTATATTTCATACTTTGTGTTTTTTAAATTGAAGAAAAATAAAATTATTGTGTGAGCTGATTCGGTTAGGTTTGAATTTCTCTTCGAAGTCCTGTTTTATGCGTCGACTAATGTCGTAGACATGTAATACTAAATTTACAATAACTTGCCCAATTCTGGACCAAATTCAACAATTTGTGCACCAAAATGTTTGGAATTCTGTCCTCTTTGCACCTAAATACAAAAAAGTGAATTGCAAAAAAAAATTATTTCCTTTAAGGTAGCTAAACACAGTTTCGTATAAAATCCAGGGGGTTTTTCCCAGAGAGAAGCATGCTGGGTAGGGATTTTCCTGCTATTTATAGGAGTCTAGATGAAAACTGCATCTTTTTTGTTTTTATTCGCATAAAGTAGAGTCTTATCTTAATATTTAAAGAAAAAAATGTGCATTCATTTTTAGAAAAAAAAAATTGTGAGACTTTTTAATAGGGGGAGATAACTCCCAAAACATCCAGTTTTCACATGTGCAGAATTGCATGAGTCACTTAGCAGGTAATGTAGCTCTTTCAAGAGGTGGAAAATGTACCCTGAAAGCACACTAAAAGAAAACCTTAGGACTTGTTCTGTGAAATGCATGCAACTTATTTTGTCTGATTTTTTCTGTTTTTGTTGAGCAGGGGGGTTAAAAATGCATAGGTGCACTGAAAATGGATGGGTAAACAACCCAATATCCCCCTTATTTCAGGTGTCAAATACCCCCTAGTAGTAATTGATGAATGTATTATAGTTGGATATTTACAAAATTCACAATTTTATCTTTCCATTGATATGCAGAAGTCTATGTAACAAGCCTCCATTTTATTTTTTTATAGGGGTCAGTTTTGCATGTCCCTCAACAAGTAACGTCCTGATAACGTCATACATAAAACTGTGTTTTGCACCCTTTCCTGCCATCAAAACTTTTAGTGGTTTATAAGCCTTCTTTTATGGAGAGTAATAATTCAAAGGGCAGTAACTCTATTTTAAATAGCAGATTGCACAATCGTTTCGGTCATGACGAAATATTAAGTGACACAAAAATATACAACAAAATTTTAGTAGTATGGTCAAAAAACCTACTGAATAAAAAAAGAAACATACTTAGGAGAAATGTATTAGAATAAATAAGACAAATAAAACTAAAAAACAAAAATTAGATGCGTCAAAAAACCCACAGAAAGTGGAAAGTCTATCATAGGGACACTGATATACGTCATTGATACATGATACAGTGACATTATTTTTCATTATTAAAATCAAACTTTAACATTTTTGCACATCAATACAAAAAAGAATATCTTTTTATTTAATATTTAGAACAAAATCAGGGAAATTTTGTTATATTTAACAGGAATATTAGAGTGTTTTTCATGAGTGACACAATTTGCCTCAAATTTGTGGAATCACCCATGTATTTGTATAAAACATTCGTATAATATATAATAAATATTGCATGTAGTTGAGTGTATAACATTGAAAATTGTCACCCCTGGAAAACCTCGCTGCACCTCTGTTGACAATGGTTTTCTTGGGGAGAAATTTTTCAACGTTTCACTCAACTACCTGCAATATTCATATAATAATTCAATGCTTCTAATATTAAGAAAATGTATATATCATGGTCATACCAACAACTCCTATTAATTTTTCAACTATTTACAATACATTGGTTTTTATTTGTTCAAAAAAAAAAAAAAACATTCTGATTGTACACACAAATTGAGTATGTGGTTTT